ACCACCTCCTCCTCACACCCTGGCCTGAGGTCGGGGTCCTTCCTGTGTTTTCACAGTCCCTGCACAAGCATCAGTTAGAGCAGCTGGTCACGTTGCCCTTGCCTGTGTCCCTGACTCTCTTCCCACCTGGCTGAGAGCAGAATGCTCCGTCCTATGCACCATGTAGCCCAAGGATTTATCACAATTTTTTAGCAACAATAACCTTGGCATTATCATAGTTGATATTTACTGGGTACTTACTATATGCACTTTGAAGTGGGTACTATTGTGATCCTCACATTAAAGGCAAGAAAACTGAAGCACAAAGACATCCGTTTACCTCATGTCACAAAACCATAAGTGGTAGAGCTGGATATGAACCTGGGAAGCTTGATTCTAGATCCATGCTTTTTTTTTTTTTTTTTTTTTTTGCGGTCCGCGGGCCTCTCACCGTTGTGGCCTCTCCCGTTGCGGAGCACAGGCTCCGGACGCGCAGGCTCAGCGGCCATGGTTCACGGGCCCAGTTGCTCCGCGGCATGTGGGATCCTCCCAGGCCAGGGCACGAACCCGTGTCCCCTGCATCGGCAGGCGGACTCTCAACCACCGCACCACCAGGGAAGCCCTAGATCCGTGCTTTTATCTAGTACTCTGTGATGCCTCCATGTAGCAGATGCTTAATTAATTAATATTTGCAAAAGGATACACATGAGGATTAATTGCTGTATTTTGAGATATATGATATGATCTGTGGCATACTTAAATTTGTGCCACAATGAGCTGTGTTACAATGGCGCTCTCCCACGCCCCCTGCTTCTGTTATTCTGTGGGTCTTCATCCCCGCACACTTGCACAGCAGAGGCAGTATAGCGCCGTGCCTGTGAACATGTATTAGAGAGAGGCCAATGCCGGTTCTCGCTCTCCCACTGACGGGCATCACTTCTGTGGACACGCTACTTATCCTTTCTTAATGTCATGTTCCTCCACTGGAAGACGGAAATAATAATAGCACCTACCTCATAGAGTAGGCTTAAAGGAAATAATATAAATGGAGTAATTAAAGGGAATAATATAAGGCACCATTCCTGGAACACAGTACCCATTCAACAAACATGAGCAGGTTTTTTTATTATCACAATTGTCATGAACATCGGTTTTTAAAACTTTGCCATCGAGAGCACCACTTCCTGTCCACGGACAAGGAGTTCTGAGCCAGTGTGAGTGACACTAACTGATACAGCTTCAGCCTGAAGTCTAAAGTCACCAAACTTAGGACAAAGATGTTTGGACCCATGAATTCCAGAGACCTGAAAAGCATTCCAGAGCTAACGGATGGAGTCTCCGTCTGATACCCACATCTTTGTCCTGATGTGCGCCCTGTGAGGTTCAGGGAGCCTGGGCAGAGAAGGGAACCAGGGACGTCCAGGGTCAGTACCAGCCATCTGATGAGTGGTGGCTTCAGAGGTAGAGTGGACTGCTGCATAACAAAGGCTGTCAGGAGATCCCAAGGATGCCAAATGCTAAACGCTAACAAGAGCTGCCATTTATTATACCATCGGCAATGAACTTGGCACACAGTAGAGATTCATTCATTCATTCCCTCATTCATTCAACAATATTTATTGAGTCAGACCATGTTCTAGGCTCAGGGAATCAATAATGACCTAAACAGGTAAAGTCTTAGATATTTAGGTCCTTTTATACTTTATATGCATCATCTCCGTCAACAGAGTCATCACAACACCATGATCTAAATGTTATCTTTCCCGTTTGATAGATGAGGGAGCTGAGACTCAAAGAGGTTATACCGTACCCAAAGCCTCAGAGCTGGAAAGTGGTAAACGTAGGATTTGAACCCAGTTCTTTCTGATGCTAAAGTCCATTCTCTATCCACAATATGATACTGCCTATCAAGGGAATAGCAACTGTTGGATGCGTGTTTGTGTGTATGCGTGCCCGCACATGTGTGTTGGAGCGGAGGGGTATTCGTTAATTCAGAAATCCAAATGTTTGTCATTGTGACACAGCAATAATTATGACCATCAGTTTAAAAACTGCAGGAAGCTCTGGTTTTGGCTTCTAGACTTTGCCTCTGGCCAAAATTGATGTGTCCTTGACTGCCCTCAACAAAGACAAGAACTGTTAAGCTTAGGTTGACAAGCAGGTAGAAACTCTGAAGTCGGTGGTTCATCCCCAGGCCTGCCCACTAACTCCTGGGTGCCCTCCAGAGCTTGGACAAGGGCAGTGGGCACCATGCCTGTTCAGATGTTGTCCAAACCCAGGGAGCTAGTGCTCAAATGTCAGTAATTTTGCACAGAAAGCGTGAAATGCTCTGGTCCGCCCTGGGCAGTGGATGGTGGGCCCCAGAGCCAGTGGGCTGCTCCTGGCCCATTTGTTTAGGCCTCTTGCATGCCCGTTCTCTATGCACTGGGAAGGAGGTTTCGGAGGCAGCATTTCATGCCACTGAAAGGGAGAAGGGGGGAGGGCAGTTGGTCATTGCAGTGGGGTATAAGAGCCCAAAAGTAATGCTGTCTTCTGGGTCAGAATCTTGGTGACTTCGTTTTGTGTCCGAGAGGCGCCATTATTTCTAGGCGTCACAGCCAATGCTCGCTTTACAAGTCTGCTCCTTCATTCTGTTCGTTCCGAAGCTTTTCCGTTGCACCCTGTTCCCATCAACATAAGCTCACAAAGCAAGGGCAGTGCAGTCAAGCGGGAAGGACGTTGTAGTGGCCAACAGGAGACACGGAATCTGGCCCTGGCTCTGCCCCAGCTGGCGGGGCACCTTGGATGAGTGCCTTTGCTCCTGGCCTTTCCTTTCCTCACCCGGAAAACAAAGGGGGCAGAACTGGATGGGGGTGTTTCCTATGATCCCTTCCGGCTTTAAAATTGCGGGTTGTTTATTGAGTATTGGCAGCCTTAAAGTGTCTTTGCCCTGTATTCAAAACCACATTTTTCCCCGCTCCTTACGGGCAGCGTTCTTTCTATTGCTTCAGTGCCCATAAGGCTGGTCCTTAATGTTTGATAGCTCTTCACTAAATGAATGAATGGCTATACAAGGAAATCATGAATGAGTGAAACCACTGTCACGTGCTCGTATAGCTTGCAGACTTTGGTTCTTGGTGTTTCAGTTTGGTTTGCTAGGAGGACTAGGTAAACAGTATGAGGCATCTGAGTGGTGTGGGCACAGAGAAATCAATTTCTAACTGTGGTCGTTGCCCTTACCCTTATCATTATACACCCTGTTTTCTACAAATTTGGAAGAGTGTGCATAGGGTTTTGTAACCACTGTTTTTCAACAATGACGATTTTTTTCCTCATCACTAATATTCTCTTACTTAGCTTTAATGGGTGCATCCTATTCTATTGTAGGGTTTACTGTAGTTTATTTAACCGATCCCTTAACCTTACACAGTAAGTCCATTCAAGTTTTTCCATATTATAATCAACATGTCTAAATATTCTAAATTACCTTAAAAATAAAATACACAGGCATACCTTATTTTATTGCGCTTTGTTTTATCGCATTTTTTACAAATTAAAGGTCTGTGGCTACCGTGCATTGAGCAAGTCTCTTGGCGCCATTTTTCCAATAGCAGCTACTCCATGTGTCTATGTTATGTTTTGGTAATTCTCACAGTATCTCAGACTTTTTCATTATTATTATACTTGTCATGGTGATATGTGATCAGTGATCTTTGATGTTACTGTTTTCATTGTTTTGGCATTTTTCAGCAATAAAGTATTTTTTAATTAAGGTACATACGTTGTTTTTTAGACATAATGCTATTATTGCACATTTAATAGACTACGGTATAGTGTAAACATAACTTTTATATACACTGGGAAACCAAAAAAGTTCATGTGACTTGCTTTACAACGGTGGTCTGGAACGGAACCCGCAACATCTCTGAGGCATGCCTGCATTGTTTTTGTAACAGGAGAAATGTTTTCAGTAAATGATACTGATCTCATAACAGCGTGGGCCCTGCCTGCTTAAGTAAATTGGTGGATGAGTCTATAGGAGAGCTGTGTGGAAGCCACTGTGAGGCAGCCTTTCCTCTCCATGTGCAGAGTGACAGTGATCACTGTCAGCTACAGTGTCACTGAATGAGAGGACAGCTGTTTCCCCACATCCAGAGCACTTTGTCTTTCCTCTCTTGAGCAGAACTCAGAGAAAAGGTGAGGCCAGGTCATATGCAAGAGGACCCAGACAGAGATAGGAGGCCTGGATTGAAGCTCCCCTCTACCGCCTGGCCTCAGAGTGAAAGCTTAACCTTCTGGACCTTGGTTTATTTCTCTATGAATGAGAGCGTTAGTATTATCGTTAGTATTGCCTGCCTTTCCATCACTGGTTTGGAAGGTAGAAGCTGGAGAGCTTGTGAGCCTGAAAGAAAATCATAGGTCCAAGGTTAATTTGAAGTCTTAAAGTAAATGTTGTACAGAAGTGAGTCCCTGAGAACACAGGGTCACTGGTTCTTTTTGTGCCGTTCATCTCTGGAACTGTGACCTGGACTATACCGATAGTTGACAGTGTTTTTTGGTTTTTTTTTAACTTTTTTTAAAAATTTATTTATGGCTGTGTTGGGTCTTCGTTTCTGTGCGAGGGCTTTCTCTAGTTGTGGCAAGCGGGGGCCAGTCTTCATCGCAGTGCGTGGGCCTCTCACTATCGCGGCCTCTCTTGTTGCGGAGCACAGGCTCCAGACGCGCAGGCTCAGTAGTTGTGGTTCACGGGCCCAGTTGCCCCGCGGCATGTGGGATCTTCCCAGACCAGGGCGTGAACCCACGTCCCCTGCATTGGCAGGCAGACTCCCAACCACTGCGCCACCAGGGAAGCCCTACAGTGGTTTTCGAGAAAATCCTTGCTTCACACACCACCACTATGAATAGGGAGAAAAGGCAGTAATTCAACCCTCTACTTTTTGTATGCTTTTTTTACTTTTAATCCTTGCCAGATGTAGACTGGCAATGGCCCAGAGGGTGAGTGCCTTCTGATAGAGGTCGTTTTGTTCCCGTCTCCCTTCTAGACAAAGAATTCTTGAAGGAAAAGGAGAAGTTAGAAATGGAATTAGCGGCAGTGCGGACCGCGAGTGAGGACCACCGGAGACACATCGAGATCCTGGACCAGGCTCTGAGCAACGCCCAGGCCAGGGTCATCAAGCTGGAAGAGGAGGTGAGCCTGTGGGGGGTGGCGGGGGGGCGCGTGGGGTGGGATGCAGTGCACAGAGCCCCAAGGGCCTCCGTTTCCGTTTCCTAACCCAGCAACTTTAACCAGAGCCAACTCCAAGGGAGTTGAGTCAGGGGAGAGATGTAGGTGACCTCCCAAATAAAAATGAATAAAAACAGGATTTATCCACCCCAGAGCCGGGCAGAGGATGAGAGGCAGACGTGAATAACCATCAGCAAAGAGTTCAGTCTCAGCCATAAACGCAGGCTGCTGCCCACTGGCTGGCAGGTGTCCAAGGCTGAAAATAAGTGGAAGGACTGGGAACCACTGGTGCCTGTGGAGAGAAGAGACTCAATTAACAGTTAAGTGCTGTGTCTCTGGGCTCTCGATTGCATAAAAAAGGCCAAGTCTTCTGATGCGGTGGGATTGGGGTGGTGTTCAGCAAACCTGGCTCCAATTTTCAGAAGTTGGCTTGGCCAGGTAATGACCCCCCAATCCAGGAAACGTTGATTCCGCTCAAGCGTGATGGGTTTAGTGGTTTCTGATGAAATCCAGCCTTTAGGTGAAGTTTTAAGAGTAGACTTTTCCTTTAAGCCTCACTGGGGAAGTGACCACTCCTGAGGTGCTGGCTAGGGCATCCGGGCTGTAGACACAGCAGCACAGGGGAGCCTGTTGCATCTGCTGTGTGTGGTGAGGCTGAGCCGAGCAGACCCACGGTGGAGAGTAGAGACTCCAAGTCACAGAGCGGCATGACCGAGATATTCTCCACCAGGACCGAGTTGGTGCTTGGCACGCAGGGAACAGCACTATTATTGATCCAACTGCTGTTGCTGTTGCTGTCGACAATAGAAAGCTGTTCCTTCAGGAAACACCTCCTGGCGCCAGGTGGCTTGGGTGTCTCAGCAAACTACAACTTCAAGGCTAATGCAGCTAAAGGGGAAGATTGTTAAGTCAGTAGGGTCTTGTCCGTTCAACCCGTCCCGTTAAACCCCACAAGTCCTGTGTACAGTTTTAATACTAGCATGAGGATCCCAGGCAACAGCCCCAGAGTCTCTTCCTTGTCACCAGCAAGCAACTCATTAAATAGGAAACTATCTGCTCCAGAAAGTGACCTTAACCCCTAAAGGACAGGAGGTCTGCTTTCAGGAAGGGAGGCCAGAACTCATTCTTAGGGCACTTATCAAGGCTCCATCTCCATGTATGGAGCAAAGGAAAGTGATAATTTTGAAATATTTTAATTTTAATATTTCTGTTAAAGCAAAAGTTGTGAATTCCTTGAAGACAGGTTCTTTATAATCAGCATTATGGGTCTTTTCTTGTCATTATATTTATATAGGATCTGTGTTTGATTGATTGTATGTAACTTCTCCAAAATGTCTCATGTGTCTGGCTTCCAGTGTCCCTCCTTGTTCTTATTAAAGTTTCTTTTGAAGGATCTTAACTCAGTTTAGATGGCTCACACTGAGTGCTTACCGTAACTTCCCATGATGGTTAAGGGCTTGGACTCTAGAGGCAGAGCACGTGAGTTAGACGGGTGGTATATCAGCTGTGTGACCTTGAGTGAGTCACTAACCTATTCAGTCCTCAGTTTTCTCCGTTGTTAAATGGAGGTAATATAAAAGAGTTTACCTTCTATTGTTATTGGGCGGATTAAACGAGATACCTCATATAAAGCACAAAGCTTGGCATGGTAGTGCCTCCAAAATGTTGGCCGATTAATTACTGTTACTACTAGTCATCATCATCATTATATACTCCTTGCTAGACTTAAGGCTGACCCAAGGGTGAATGAGAGAGATCGATGCCTCCAAGAATCTTGCAGTTGGTTAGTGATAATATTAACTCATTCATTTAACAAATACTTACTGAGTACCAACTGGATGCCAGGTACTGTTCCAGGCCTTGGGGACGTATTGTGCACTCTGCCCCAAGCAGACAATTCTCATGGCACTTATATTCTAGGGGCTACACACTCAGAGAATGGTATACAGTCTACGACATGGTAAGTGGTGTATGAATGGTACTCACAAAATAGTTTATCAGATGAGGCTTTTCTAGCGCAGGAACCTGCAGTTAGTAGGTCCTCAAACAATCAAAGGCACAGTGAATGAAAGAGTCAGATGAAAACTAATCCCAAGAGCAGGTGTAGAAAAGGCTATAAGTTGCTGTCCACGCCCCCCGGCAAAAGGTCAGAAGCACCTCGTTTTTTGTCGCAGTGGTTTTGGCTAGGGCACAGGCATTGCTCCTGGCAGGGCTGCCTGCTAAGTCAGAAACCACCCTTTGCAGCGAGCTCTTAAATCGCTAGCATGTTCCAACTTGCCAGTGCAATCATGGGTTGAACTCAGGATCTGAATCACCTGCAAGGCATCTGCATGCCCAGGTGCAGAGTGACAGGAAATAGCATCTGGTGCCTTCTCACCCAGGACCAGATCAAGGAAAAGCCTCAGTCTGATTTTTGGCACCAGCCAATCCCCAGAAAGTTAGAAATGTGCCTGGGATTTATGAACATGGGCCAAACTCCTAACTGGAAGAAAACAAAGTCTGAGGGTAAGAATTTGAAGTGGTTGATCCGTGAGTCTAAATCCATACCTGATGTGACATTTACATAAATCAGTTTTTACCTTAATTTGCCTCTCCTCAGTGATTGTGTGGTTTGCGTGTTCATTAGGCCTTTCCCGTCTCTCCAGGGCTGTCATCCATAAAGGGCTCTGAAATCTTTAGGAGGAAATTACTCCACAAGTATGTATAATCAGATATTGTCATACTCATTCACACATACACAAATGGGTACACATGCATAAATACATACAGACACAATTTTTCTAATAGTAATTGGTAGTTATAGAAAATTTGAAAAATACAGAAGAGAGTAAAGAAGATGAGAAATTATTCTGCCATACAGACAAACACAGTTGATGCTTTTATTTCCTTTCAGTCTTTTTGCATACATAGATGATAGATACATAGATAGATAGGCAGGCATAGTTGTGATAATGTTGCATATAATTTTTGATTCTGGACTTTTCAGTTAACATTATAGAATAAGCATTTCCGTATAACATTTAAAAAATCTTTATTAACCTCATTTCCAATGCCTGCTGATGCTATAATGACTCAACAATAACCACGGATTGAGCTCAGAGCTGTATAAATGACTGAAAGCAGGTGGCCTGTTAGGGTTTTCAGTTCCTAGCATCCCAGCTGATTTAGGTGTAACTGGTGGCCTTCGTCTAAATCTTTTCTGTCCCAGCACACCTGAGGGATAGGAGTGGAGAAGGTACACGCACTTGTAGTTTAAATAGCGTCTCGAGGTACTCTGACACACACACCCCCAATCTCCACCCCAGCCTTGAGGATCACTGTCCAAATTCCGTGCTCCCTTTTCCTCTCCCCCTCCACTCAGCTCCGAGAGAAGCAGGCATACGTGGAGAAGGTTGAGAAGCTGCAGCAGGCCCTGACCCAGCTGCAGTCTGCCTGCGAGAAGCGGGAGCAGATGGAGCGGAGACTGCGCACCTGGCTGGAGAGGGAGCTGGACGCCCTGAGGACCCAGCAGGTGAGGGGCGGGGCCCTCGGTGTCTGGCGCATGCGTTCTGTGAAGGCCATGGAGCTGAGCACCTGCTGCCCGCCAGGCTCTGCGCTCTGCCCTGAGGATTCAGGGGTAAACGAGAGCTTGCTGTCCTCCGTGGTCCAGCACAGAGGCCAGTGGAGGAACCAGTAAGCCCACTCACTGGAGAGACGAACGTCTTGACAGGGAGAAAGTGGTGACCCCTGGGGGCTGGGTATGGGGGAATGCGAGTGCAGACGGCGGAGGACATTTGAGTTGGACTTCGAAGGATGAGTTTGTTGGCCCTTCTTGGGGAAGCATCAGAGGTAGAGGAGGAGTATGCGTGGAGGAGAGAGATGAGAGGCACGTGGTGGGTCCAGGACAGCTGGGGGCTGCCAGCTGGGGGAGCATACCAGATGGAGGCAACGTCCAGTTTGTGGAGGGCTTTTGGTCAGGTTGAGAGGCTGGATTTTTTTTTTTCCTGTAGGATCAGGAGAGGAGCCCTCTGGTGGTGTCAGAGGAGGGGCTGGAGGAACAGACGTTGAAGTCAGGGAGGCCAGCCTGAAGGCTGTTAGTGTCATCTAGGGTGTAGTGACAGTGGGAATCCACGGGGGACCTAGAACGGGGGTGAAATTGGGAGGACCTGATCATCAGTGAGTTTTCAGAGGTAAAGGACAGGAAGGAGTCAGGACTATCCCTAGAAAATAATATTGGCCATAAGTTCCGTGTCCTTCTGCCTCTCCCTGTTTCTCCTGGTAACAGCTGTTCATGTAATTCAGCTGCAAATAAACTCAGAGTAAAACACCCCAGCCCAGGGTCCTCGTGGGCCTTGGCAAGAGAAGTCCTATAGCTGGGCCGGGCTCCGTTACAAGCGGGTCAGGGGCTCCTGGTGTGTCATCAGCCAGCGTGGTGGGCAAAGCCTTCTATGTGGCCGGTGAAGAGTGTGCTCTAAGTTTGGAACCAGGGAAATGCGGGCCAAGACTCCATGGAATTACCTGGTGGATAGGGCATAGTGGTTATGGTTGAAACACTTAAAAACACTTGAAAGCATATGCTCTGGCCAGCTCAGCCCTTTCTCATGGCAGCGCACACAGTTCCCTCTGGGCGTGTGTACTTGGCTGGAGATGGAGGTGTTAGCGAGATTGCCCAGAAAATCAAGGAGCCCACCCAGGCCCCTATCAACTTGGCTTAGTTGATAGCTCACAGGGAAAAGTGCGTCTGTCTCTGGACTTCTGATCCTTCTAACCTGTGCCGCATTCTCTGGCATTTCAGGGCCACCCTTCAGCCATTTACTGTTGCTCCGTTATTGAGATCTTAAGTCCTCCAACTGGAGGGCAGGCTCTCTGGTGTCTGGTACTGTGCTGGCACCTGGTGGGTCTTTATGAGTCTTTGGATGACAGAATGGGCACATCTCAGTATTTAGAGCAAAAAAGAATGTTCTTTTCCAGTTAACGTGCCACCCACACCCTATAGTTAAATTACTTATCCCTGGATCTTCTATTTTGAGTGCGATGAAAACAGACTCTTCATTCATTTCAGCTACTCTATGTATTCTAAACTATATCTCTCCCATTGATTGCTTTGGGGATTTGTGCCCGTGGTATTAGGCAGTACTCTAATGAGCTGCCTTTTTACATGTCTCCTTGCAAAAAAATGTAAGAGCTTCCCAAGAGGATATACTTAAAAATGGGATTTCTGGATAACGAATGCATATGCAAAACATCACTAGATATTGCCAGATCACTCTACAAAGTAAATATACCAGTTTATCCAAAATGTATAAGAATGTCTTCCTGTACATTATCATCAACATTTCGTTTTGCAAGATGTCTTTTTCTTTAAGAAAAAAAAGGGGGGATGAAAGAAACCAGACTCAGCTCCATTATCCTTGTTGTATATCAAGAAGAAATGTGAATGAAGCATTATTTGAAAAATTTCTCTGTTGCCACAGAGGACCATTCCCGTATGCACACTCAGACCCACACACACTCAGGCCCATTTTTTTCCTCAGAGCAGCAAACACAGCTTTCCCACTGTTTGTAAAGGATGCAGTCAGATTTCGGCTGCCTGTGGAGGACGGAAGTTTCAGAATCAGGGCTGTCCTGGGGAATTACGTGGCTTGCATTTTGGACTTGTCTTCGGGGGCTGGTAGCAGATCCCTAGCTGTGTACGGCTGACATGAGACCAGAGACGGGGGGGAGACAATCTTTAAACAGAACTTTGCTGCCCAGCATCTCTTTAAAATAATATTACAATTGTTTTTTTAATGAGAGTGTTAATCTGTCTCCTCTGTTATGAAAGGCACTTGGGGATTTCCCTACTTTTTCCTGCTTTTGCCTACTCATTAAAAAGATGAGTATTATTTTTTCCTTTAATACTTCATTTTCTCATTTTACCAATGAGCATACATTATTCTACAAACAGAAAAGACAAAAGTGTTGTTAAAAAGAAGTCCACCAAAATACCTTAATAGTTCCACGTGGCCGATACTATAGTTTGGTCCAACCCCTGCCTGGAGTCTGTGGACAAGTGTGGCGATCACAGTTCCGCTGGCCCCCAGCAGGGGTGACCAGCGTCCACCCTGGAGCGTGGGGTCACCCGAGAAACTCTGCCTCTCTGATCTGTTTCCTCCTGTTTAGTCTGAGGAGCTCACACATGTGTCCACTCTGGATGTGGGCAACCCACCTCGCACACTGCTCCTTCACCCCGGGGTCACCGAGGCATTTACCTGACCCCATTAGAAGGCATACTGAGGTCACACAAAATAAATAAAGGCCCTTGTCATCTCTCCCCTCAACAAAGCAGTGAGACAACACTGCCTGCCTCTTCCCATAGAGAATCATTCTGAAGGGAACCATTGAGAGAACAGCTTAGAGCACTTTTGAATCAACACCCCACACAAGGGCTCTGCCGTAGACCCACGCCAGGACACAGCTGAGCCTCTCCACGCGGCCCTCTCCACACAGAGCCCCCAAGTGAGCTCCAGTTTCTCCTGCAAGTTATTCCTTCTGGAAACTTCCAGAAGGGTGGGTAGGCTGGAGGTGAGCAGAGTGGCATGGAATCGTGAACTGAGTCAGAGCATAGGCTCGGGGGTTAGGCTGCCTTCTCCTCCTACTACAAAAGGGATCTTTCTGAGCCTTCACTTCCTTGTCTCTAAAATGGGGCACATAAATTATATTTACCGTATACTTGTAACTAAAAATAAGAAAATCTGCACAAAGTACTTACACAGTGCCTGACACTTAGCACTTGGTGAAGGAAGAATAGCTATCATTGTTGTACTTCTCTTCATTACCTTCAGAGTCATTTGATGGCTTAGGGCATCTTTGGTGCCCAAGTTACTCCAACTTTTCCAATCCCATTGAAAAAAAAAGTGACAAGTGTGGCTGGACTGAGAAGGTCGGAGAGGGAAGATAGGTCAGGACACTAGGACCAGCAGGAAAGAGCAGCTCTCAATGAACAGGTTCTGTTATTACAAGTAACCTCCCTCTACTTTGGGAGGCAAAGTGTGGTACTTAAGCATTCCTAGAAGTTGGGGGGAAGTGAAATAGAAATAAGGGTAAAACAGGAAGGGAAATTAACATTTTTAAGAATTCACAATCTTTTCTTTCTGGAAAAGAGCTGAAAGTAATTTTCACATCTTACTTCCACGGTAGTCATAGGAGGTAGAAGAAAGAAGTGGGGAATGTTCTTGAAGGGCAAAACGAGGCCCAGGGCAGCTAAGAGACCAGCCCAAGGTCATGTAGCAAATTTAGGCCTTTCTCCCAGGTGAACACACTGAGGGCAAAGATTTTTATCTCTATTGTTCACTGTGGTTGGTATCCCCTGCACAGGGTGCATGCTTAGTAAATATTTGGTGACTAGCTGAACGGGCAGCAAAAGCTGGCCTGCCTGACCCTTAATCTGTTTTTCTGGGCAATGTACCCATTAGACTGTGCTATCTCTGAACTCTTGAGTGTCTAAATTCTTGCATTTATTTAAACAGCTCTTAAGGAACTGAGCAGGTCACCAGCCGAGGTGGCAACACAAGGGATTTGGATAGAAACCATAGATGGCAGCTAAGTGAGGCTGTGGGATCTTTTTCTTGGAAAGTTTCTAAAAACAGGGTAGTTTCTCATCTCAGTGGACTGGTTTGTTTGTCCTCCTGCCCTGAGGCTGGGTGCCTGGCTTGATGGGGTCGGTGACTTCCTATGCAGGCTGATGAGGACAGGTACATGCTTTCCACTCTATTCTGGCTTAAATGCCGGCCACTGGCACGCTACCACTGGATCCTAGAATAACTTGTATTTGTAGCTTTCAAGAATCAAATAGAAGCATATGGTTTACAGAAAGCCTGTAGGCCCGTTTGTTCTCTTCTGTCTGGTGGGATTAAGTTCCAGCAGTGCAGTTCAAATGCCCAGCTGTTGCTCTGGGTAATTTATGTGGTTCAGGGTGAAAGGTACCTCTCACCTTGCAAACAACCCTGCATTTAAAGTTTGTGATCACTGGGAAATAGGAGGGGAATGCATGTCCCAGGACAGAGAAGAGCTGGGATGAAATCGTTCTCCCCTTGAGTAGCTCAGGCCCGAATGGTCTCCTAACCCCGGGTTCCCGAGATGACCCATCTCCACCACTGGCCAGAAGTCAAACCTCCTCGTCCTCTAAGTCATCGGTTTAGAGGAAATAGTATCCCTGAGTTAGAATGGAGAAAATCTGAAAAGTGAACATCCTCAGCTCATGAGCTATTCAGATAACACAGCCACTTTGTGTTGTGTTATCTGAATAACACTTCTCTCTTATGGACACAGATGGAGAGAAGGGGCTGGAAAATGAGCTTGACTTGCCTTAGAGGTTTTTCTGGTAACACTGTACTTTGGTTAGCCCTTTAAAGTGTATTAAGTGCTTTCATGTTTATTATCCTATTTGATTGTTGGGCTTCCGTCTGGGGCAGGTCTTAATTTCTGTTTCCCAGATGGGAGGCTGGGCAAGCATGCCCTTAAGGCATCTCACTCCCACTTCCTGTGCCTTCACATTCTATCTCCCAGCCTCAAGGGAAGCAAACAGCTGAATCACTTCCTTGAACTCTGGAGAAAGTGCCCTAGACCAGGAGGCCAAACTTTGTTCCTGTTCTGGCTCTTGGTATAAATTAACTGCAAGACATTGGACAAGCCACTTCCTGTCATGCAAAGCTGGATATAGGCAGACTCGGGTTTGAACCCTGACCCTGATCAGCTTAGAGACAAGGAATAGTTCATTCAATCTCTCAGCAGCTTGGTTTTTCCATCTGTAAAATTGGGATAATACTCTCAGTTTTATAGAGCTCCCGGAGAATTAAATGAGATAGAGGAAGTGGGGATAGAGGTTGATGGTGTCAGAATCCACCCCCATTCGGGTCATCAATGCTGGAGAAGGGAGTAAGGGTGAATGTGCTGCAGGATCTGGGTGAACCGTGCGTGCTCCACGTGGGTAAATCTGCCCACCCAGGGTCTACTTTATAGTCCCGATTCAGCATAAAGATGTTACTTCTTGGGCTTCCCTGGTGGCGCAGTGGTTGAGAGTCCGCCTGCCGATGCGGGGGACGCGGGTTCGTGCCCCGGTCCGGGAAGATCCCACATGCCGCGGAGCGGCTGGGCCCGTGAGCCATGGCCGCTGAGCCTGCGCGTCCGGAGCCTGTGCTCCGCAACGGGAGAGGCCACAGCGGTG